ACACAGGCACACAGACACAGACACACACACACACACACACACACACACACACACACACACAGAGTGAGAGAGAGAGAGAGAGAGAGAGGAAGAGAGAGAGAGAGAGAAGAAAGGAAGTAAAGCTGGAACTGAAGACCAAAAGCAGTTGTCAAAAAGTATGAATTTTCAACAAGCTTTACAGATGTATTTATTATAAAGCACATATTTTCTACAAAGATGGAAAAAAACATTAGTTACTTTAGAATAAGACTATATCTATCCAGAATAATTATTTTTTATAAGATCAAGCCTAAGCAGGCTGCTACAGCATCCCTCTAATCTTTCCTTTCTGTATCCTTCCTTTATTCTCTCATCCACGTCAGTTTTTCTTCTAAAGCTTTGCTGATAAGAGTTTCACATTATCTGTTCCCAAGGAGTGTTTTAACATTACTAAAGTAAAAGTATGTAAGAGAAAAAAAGTCCAAATATAACAGTATAGACACCAGTAACAGATATTCAGGGGTAGAAAATCCTCTGGGCATTATTACCCTGTTGCCTATTTATAAATCTAGCTCTCCAGAATAAGACATTTTCTGTTTTAAAAAGGATTCTCCACAGGACTGGACCTGTATCTCAATAACATAAATTGTCTAACGTAATAATTACATGTACTAGGTAAAATAAAAATTGCTTTACAAATGTTCCCCTTCACTCGTATATACTGAATGTTTTAATAAAAAAATATTTTAATAATAACTAATACTTATATAGCACTTACTCTGGCCTAGGCATCGATCTAGGCACTTTACATATGTTAACTTTTTTTTCATCTTCATAATAACTCTATAAGGTAGGTGCCACTATTTTGTTTTGCAGGTGAGTAAACTGAGGTACACACAGATAGCAAAGAAGCACAACTGGAATTCACACCATATCCAGGCAGCTTGGTTCATGAATTCATGCTTTTAGTCGCTACACAAAACTAGTGCTATGAAATACCACCATTAAAAATCGGATTAGCTCAGCTTTCCCAGTGATCAAACATTCAAAGCCTAGGTTCTGTATGGGGCCACAAAAAAGTATGGGAGAAGTACAGAAGAATGAATAATCTCCTTTCACATGATACCTATCTCCTCTCTTTGCATCCTTAGATCTTGCTCTTATGAAGTCTACACAAAGACATTCACCATTAAAAATACAAATATTGTCAACCAAAATGGTTAAAACTAAGAAATATAAAAACATCAAGGGTTGGTGTGGATGAATGATGGAAAATTTCACATATTGCTAGTGGGAGGGTAAAATGGCATAATAGTTCAGAAAATCGTTTGGCAGTTTCAACTAAAACGAAACATGCCTACCCAATGCTCTAACATTCTACTACTAAGTATATAAATGCGTGCATATATCCACAAAAAAATGTATGAAATGTCTACAACAGCTTTATTTATAATTCCACTCAGAAATGTAAACCACCCAAATGCCTATGAACAGGAAAGTATACGTAAACTGTGGTACACTTATAAAATAGAACTCTGCACAGCAATTTAAAAAAAATGTAGTGATACATGTGCAACATGAATTTCAGATTATGAGTGGAAAAGGCGAGACACAAGAGTACGTATCGTGTGAGTCTACTTACCTGAACCTTATGTGAAGGGACAATGATGAAACCCTATGGGACTAGAAATGCTCTATATCATGATACAGGTGGTATGTAGCCTACCTATATGTTAGCTATCTATATATGGTAGCTATGGTACCTATATGTTAAAAACTATCAAACTCTTCACTTAAGATTAATGTAGTTTATGCTCCGTATGTATGTTATCTCTTAACAAAAGTCCTTTGGAGTAGTAACCTCAAGCCAGTGCTCTTCACACCTTTGCCACAATGGTAGGAATGTTTTCTGTAAACCTCTTGAAAGTTTAGGAATACAGGGAAGACCCCATATTTTGTTTAAGCCTCTTTGTTTTTTTTTTGAGATTGGACACTCCTTCCATCACCCAGGGTTGGAGCGCAGTGGCGCAGTACAATCTCGACTCACTGCAACCTTAGCTTCCCAAATTCAAGAGATTCTCCTGCCTCAGCCTCCAAAGTAGTTGGGATTACAGGCAGCGCAACCATGCCCAGCTAATTTTTGTATTTTTAGTACAGGCTGGGTTTCGCCATGTTGGACAGGCTAGTCTCGAACTCCGGAACTCCTCACCTCCCACCTTTGGGAGTCCCAGGTGATCTGCCCACCTCGGACTCCCAAAGTGCTGGGATTACAGGCGTGAGCCACTGAGCCTGGCCTTAAGTCTCTTTGAATTCACAAACCCTTTATTCGCAAAGAAAAGTAATGTTTCAAAATAGCATATAAAATGCTTAACTCCCAATTTTTAAGTTAAACTGACGGCCTGGCTTTTTCTGCATCTTCTGGAGTCTATACTGATTCAGAAGCAAAGCCTTAAGCATTTAACAACTAACACCTTAATTATTAGGTTTGCGGGTACTCCTTCAAGTAATGGTTGAAAAAGAGAAAACGAAGGTACTTGGGAGAGGGGCACCTGAAGTAGGGAGAAGAGGACCACCCCTGTGAAGCTCAAGAAAAGACAGACATATTTCATACAACAGCAGCTTCACTAATGGCTGTTGTTTCTGTGCTACTTGAAATCATTTTTTTTCCTGTAGGATTTTACAAATTGTTGGCACATTAGTCTTCTATCATAGGGTTAATATAATAAATACAATATGTTTTTAAATTATGTACAATTCTATCTTAACAGAGGACAGCTGTGACAAAGAGAGTTAAAATGAGCCTTAATTGAGCTTAAAAAAAATAAACTGAGGTCAATGTTAGTTTGAATTCCATAAATGCGTAACAAATGACAGCAGGAGATTAAGATCCTAAAACAAATGGTCTGGACACACATCACTAGAACCAACAGAAAAAAATGAAAGCAATTCAGCATTTCAGGATTAAAAAACTGAGCAATGTATTTTGGTAAAGAAAAAGAATTAGGCTTACTAGGAAGGGGGACTGCTCCTTAAATAAGGCTGAAATAATGTTTTTCAAGTCTGAGTCCAACCCGAGTTGAAATAAAAGGGGTAAGCAACAAATTCAATGATAGATTACCGAAGGGCAAAGCCAAGTTTTAATCATGACTCGCTGTCATTGAGAATCGTTATGTATTGAGGGCTTGGTTTCGTGGGAAAAAAACAAAACTAGAAGCAAAGGGAAAACAAGCTGCGAGCTTTGTCCGTTACCTGCCCAAAACAGCCTAAATTTCCCAAACTTTGGTCCCACTCCCGCTTTTCCTGGAGCCTTCATTGGGCGCTCCTGCCTCTCGCTGCGGCCAGAGGACCCCCGACATTCACTCGCCTTTACTAGTACAAAAAGACAACAAAGGGAGCGAAGGACTGTCCTTTCTTTCCTAGGCTGGGGCCGCCACTCCCCTGCCTCACTGTGAACTAAGAATTACTAGGGGGAGCCCCATCTGTCCTCCACCCCGGAGCCTCTCACCTCCAAGTGCCGCAAAAGCTGAGTGGCGTTCGCCTCTGACTTCACGGCTTTGTACTGGCTGATAGTCAGAAGCAATGACTTCAAGCAGGCCGTGGAGTCCATTGTACTGGCAGCAGCCCCGCCTAGGGACCACCACCACCTAGCCTGCGCCGGCCTTCAGCTTTCGCCGCGCTTTTTTTTGATTTCTTTCGGCCCCACCCCCTCGCTCCCTGAAGCTTCCGGATCCGGTCGGGCTCCGGAAGTCCCTAGGCCCCCTGGGTGACAGTTCTCGGTGACGGCCGGGGTGGGCCGGGGTCGAGGTGGCGTGTGGATCCGAGAGGGGGCTTGGGAGCTGCCCCTGCTAACCCCCACTCGTCTGAGAGGCCGCGAGGCTTCAGCCTGAGATCCCGTGACGGCGAGAAATCTCGCGATTTCTCTGGAGAGGAATCGGTTAGGCGCCGGTATTCCTACTTCAGCTGCGCGCTGTGTTTTAGTGCGCTTCCTCAGCCTTCGTGTTGGATGGCCAGTTTTTCCTTTGTGCGTCATCCTTTACCTGAGAAATGGTCGCTTGCCCCTAGACTAGACACGGTGAGGAGCTCTGAGCAATCTTTGGGCCCTAGTTTCGAGGCGGCCTGGGAGGGGCCTAGTTTTTCAATCTCTCCTCCACCCGCCCCTTCTGCCGGGGATGGTAGTTTCTCAGAGATCCAACCTATGGACATTGGCGTTCTGTGGCAAGTTAGGCATGCCCTGACGATAGTATTTATCCCATTTATTCGGGAAGGCCACCTCCTGCTGACCCTGGGCCAGGTATTGCTCCGGAAGGTGTTCTCGTTAGCATCAGTTTTTGTAAGTGAAGGTGTCTGTTTCTCTCTGGCATGATTGTTTTCTAATTTTCGATGTCTACGAAAGTGGCACTATTATTGATGTTTCTTTTTAATAGGAGATACCTTAATATTGTTGCATGTCTATATAATGAAGTGAGTCAGTTACTGGTTTTGGACCTTTTTGCTTAAAATTTCCTAACGTCGAAAAAGCTTTGAAAACCAGGGTGCAGAAATTTTAAGAATAGCGTACATTTCCATTTAATTAAGTCATTTATCAGAAATCATGCTTTTTCACTTCAAAAAACATTTTTTGAATTACCAGATTTTTGAAGACAGGTTTGGTGTTTCGTTTTTGTTTTTATAAAAGTTTAAAACTAAATCTGAAAGAATAAAATGATTTAACCAGTTGGGACATTCATGTAAAAAATCTTTGGGCAGCTTATGTGTTGATTCATGCTTTCATTCATTCCGTAAACAACTGTAGAGCATGTAACTTGGGTTAGAAATTGTCAGTCACAGAACAGAGATGAGGAAGTATCCCCTGCTGCGAGGTAACTGTCTAGTAAGGGAAACATACAAAATGGATAATACTTTAGAAATTCACCACATAAATGAGAGGCACCATGCAGTAATGGTAAAGAGTAGAGAGCCAGGCTGCTTGCAGATTCTAGCTCTACCTTCGACGTTATGACTCTAGGCAGGTTCTCATCACTGCTTCAGACTCATCATAAGGTAAAATCTGGCCGAGAGAAATACCTGTTTCATAGGACTGTTCAAAAAGTAATTCATTGAGAGTCTACAATGCGCTAAGCACTTTTCTAGACACAGTAGACTCACTGAATAAACAAAAATACTACTGGCATGCAACTTACATTCTGGTAGGGAACCAAGTAAACACAGTAAGTAAGAAAAATTATATAAAGAGACAAACAGACGTTATTACTCTAGAATCATGCTGGTAATTGATAAGGGAATGGGAAGGTCAGAATAGACCTCATTAAGAAGGCAACATTTGGGGAAGTGCTTCAAGGAGTTGAGAAAGGGAGCCGTATTTTAGGGGAAAAGGTTATTAGATAGAGGAAATGGCAAAGCAAGACCCTAAAGTGGGTTACCGTGTGCCAGGAACAGCAAGGATGCAATGTGGCTAATGTAGAAAGAATGAGGAGGAGTAGAGATGAGGTCCTGTACGGCTTTGGGAGATGGTTAAAAAATGAATTAATCGATGTAAAGTGTCAGCTGTCATCTGGCGTATTTAAGTTCTCAGTGTTACAGTCAGTGGCGCATTGGCAAATGAAATAATCAGAGTTTGATACTGTTATCAAACTAAAAGTCTGACAGACTTTTCATCTGTAATGACAGGTGTGTCAGCATCATTCCCATTCAGCGCCCCAAGGTAACGCTCAAAGCTGCCTGCTATCAGTGCCATCTTTGTTGGATTTTAACTTAAGCAGTCAAACAAATTTTGCATTCTCTTCTGTGTTTAATATCAAGTGGCTTTCTAAAAAAAAATCTTCACCAAAATTGATGTTGTAAGTTTGGTAAGATATATCGTTTCTACCTGTGGTTAAGTCTTGACGTTTTTAATGAGAGATACTTGCATATCCTAATTTGAGAAACGCCAGTCCATACCCTTAGACTTCAAAAAGGGGGAAGAAAAGGAAGAGAAGGCCAGGAGCAGTGGCTCACGCCTTTAATTTCCAGCTTTTTAGGAGGCTAAGGCAGGAGGATCTTGAACCCAGGAGTTGGAGACCAGCCTTGGCAACATATTCAATGAAACCCCATCCCTACAAAAAAATGAAAAAATTAGCTGGACATGGTGGTGCTCACTTGTAGTCCTGGCTACTCTGGAGGCTGAGGTGCGGGGATCGCTTGAGGCTGCAGTGAGCTGCGATTGTGCCATTGCACTATGGCCTGGCAGAGTGAGACCCTGTCCAAAAAAAAAAAAAGAGAGATATGAGTCGGGGTCCAGATGATCAAAGGCCTTATTAGCCTTAAACTTGGACTCCATTCTGAAGTTACTGGCAATCTCTGGTTTTAAACTGGCACCTGGTCTAGTCAGGTTTGTTTTTAGCTTGATTACTCTGGCAGCTGAATGAACTGTGATTTTGGGGAGGATAAGACTGGAAAGAGGGAGACTCATTTTCTGGAGCCTTCTAAAGCATAACCAGGATAATTAAGGTGGAGATAGAAAAAAGGTGATGAATTTGAGAAATATATATGAGGTAAAATAGGTAGGATTTGGTGTCTGATAGTGGATGTGAGGAGTGAAGAGAGGGATGAGTCTAGCAGATATTCTAAGTTTTTAGGTTGTATGAATGAGAAAATACAGATACCACTGAGTTAGCTAATAGAAAATATTAAAGGTATGCCAGGCATGGTGGCTCATGCCTATTATCCCAGCACTTTGGAAGGCTAAGGCAGGAGGATCTCTTGAGCTCAGGAGTTTAAGACCAGCTTGGGCAATATGGTGAAACCCCATCTCTACTAAAAATACAAAAAATTAGCCGGGTGTGGGAGGTGCATGCCTATAGTCCCAGCTACTCAAGAGCGTCGTGAGAGGAACACTTGAACCTGGGAAGGCAAGGCTGCGGTGAGCCATGGTTGCCCCACTGCACTCCAGCCTGGGCAACATGGGCAGCAGGAGGGAGACCCTGTCTCAAAAAAAAAAAAGAAGTAAGAAAGTAGTCAGGGTATATTTTATTTTCAATGAAATTTTATATAGTTTGTCATACTGCCTTGTTCCATTGTCATTATGTTTGTTTCTCATTACGTTTATCCTAATAGAGATTGGTTTATGTAGATGTTCTACCTGTATATCATCTGCAAATAATTGCTTTCTCTCTTCCAGTATTTGTTGTTTTACATTATTGCATTAGTGTAAGCTCCAAAATATGGAAAGTCATGTTAACTTTGAACAGCTTTGTTATATTACTTAATTCAATCAGAATGAATATTACTTAATTTAATCAGAATGAAAAGTGTTTTAACACTTAGTATAATTTGTGCTATTGGCTTTTGATACTCATCATGTTTAAGAGCTTGGCCTTTATATCTGTTTCATTCTAAAAAATGTCTGCCAAAAATTATCCAGTTTTCACATTTATATATTTTATTTTTCACTTTAAAATTATAACACAGTGGATTATGTTGCCTTTTGGTTCTTGGGATAGAATAGTTTATACTTACTGAGCATTTGCCATGTGCCAAGCACCATTCTAAGGACTTTCTACTTACCTATCTAATCTTTATAATAACCGCATGCTGAAAGTATTATTATGATCTCCATTCTACAGATGAAAAACTTAAGACAGAAGAGGGGGAAGTAATTTGCCCAAGATCACAAAGACGGTAGTAACAATCCTATGTTTTCTCTGCTTCAGGTTTTGATTTGCTGGTATTTTTATTCAGGATTTTATTATAAATATACCTGTTCATAAGTGAACATTTTCAGTAATGTTTTTCTTTATCCTCACATCAAATTTGGGTTATATGTTTCCTTTGAAAAATAAATTGGAAATGTTTCATCTTTTTTTATCCTATGGGATAATAAGAATCATAGAAATTATCTGATTCTTGTAGGCTGTACACAGTTTGCCTGTAAAATCATTAAGCTTGATAGCTTATTTAGTGGTAGATGGTAGAAATTTAGAAAATATTTGAATTTTTCTTGGTGTTTTTATTTTTGTTTATTTATTTGTTTGTTTGTTTGTTTGTTTTTGAGATGGGGTTTCACTTTATTTCCCAGGATAGAGTGCAGTGGTGTGATCATGGTTCACATGGTTCGCAGCCTTGACCTCCCTGGGCTCAGTTTATCCTCCCACCTCATCCTCCCTGGGACCACAGGCATGCCCCACCATGCCTGGCTGATTTTTATATTTTCTGTACAGATGTGGTTTCACCATGTTTCCCAGGCTGCTCTCTAACTCCTGGTCTCAAGTGATCTGCCTGCCCCAGCTTCTTAAACTGCTGGGATTATAGGAATGAGCTACCATGCCTGACCTTGAGTTTCTAATATAGTTATAGATCTGATCATTTATTCTATCTTTCCTTAATTTTAGATATAGAAGGTTTTTAGTATAAACAATTGTTTCTCTAGATTAAAAATTTACTGATAAAAAGTTGCATTCAGTATCCCAGTAATTCTCTTAATCTCATAGTAGTTTTAAATTTCCATTTTCATTTTAATGTAATCTATATTTTTTTCTTAGTTGGGCTTTCCAGGGGTTTTGGGTACATGTGCAGCTTTGTTATATAGGTAAACTTGTGTCATGGAGGTTTGTTGTACAGATTATTTCATCACCCAGGTTTTAAGCCTAGTAACCATTAGTTACTTTTCCCATTTCTCTCCTTGTTCCTACCCTCTGCCCTCCGATAATGCCCATTGTGTGGTGTTCTCCTGTATGTGTTCATGTGTTCTTATCATTTAGCTCTCATTTATGAGTGAGAACATGCAGTATTTGATTTTCTTGCATTAATTTCCTAAGGATAATGACCTTCAATTCCATGCATGTTCCTGAAAAGGACATGGTTTCATTTTTTATGGCTGCATTCTTTACTATATTTTTAAATAAAAATTATTTATTTTATGTCACAAATTTTATATTTTGGTTTTGTTTTGTGTCTTCACAGCAGAAAGTAAAGGCTAATATTTCAGAAACTTTAAAAAAGTCAATAGCTAAAGTTAACATCTGCATTTTACTTAAAATATGTATAATAATTTTAACCAGTCAGGTAAATACGTTTTTAAAATGCTAACAGTGATTT